AGATTTTTTTGTTGAACAAAAATCACCTTAATGTTAAGAGGTGAACGAAAATCAGAAAAAAGAGATCTGTTTGAGTGGCTTTTATTTTGTGAAGTACGGTAGATGAAAGCAAAGCAAATAAAATGCCCCATCTTCGTGGAGAGACTTTGCCGTGTGGAGTCACTGTGACTGTCCCCAGCGGAGAATACTTTGTCTGCCTGACCAAATGTAAATGGCCAGTCGTCGGGGTGGGGACACGCTTTTCCGCAGAGGCTTGTTCATTCTGGCACATTTGTTTTTACAGGAATTATTCTTGTAAGCACCGGTACTTGTAAGTGCGATATGAAAGAATAATTTATCGGCGAATCGGGAGCTCGCTACATGCTGCCTTCAGTGCGACACTTAAAAGAGTCAATTATGTGTGACTTCAGTGTGACGAAAATAAATAAGCTATCTAGATCGAGTCTGACATCTATTAAGACCGAAGTTTACTTTACTGATACTGATTGTTATCATGTATGGCGCAGGGCTAGCAGTCTATGAGTGTCACTGACCTTCCCTTTCCGAAATCACCCCTTCCATTTATATTTATGATATCTCATCATAGCTTTAATCTTGCACTTCTGAGCTTGACTCTAAGTCCGAGAAATATACACGCTCACGTTGGCACTTGTAAGGACCCGCAGTTTCTACGTTGGTAACTTTCAAAGAGAATGCATTAATTCTGTATCACAACAATCTCGCACCTTTGGTATCGTCAATCACCCCAAAATGCAGAGCCAAGAATGAAGACATAAGAAAGGAGGTCGATGAATTGACATCCCTGTCTAGTACTAGAATTGATACGAAAGTTGGAGCGAAGCAAGTCAGCGTTACACCCTGATCTCTTAGTAGACAGACGCAGACAGCGAGAGACGCATTCTTTTTGTAATACAGTCAAGCAAGTCGCTAGGACAGACAAATTTGTATTCTTGCTCTCTGACTACGGTTGAACACTACGCTACGACAAAGAATGAATAGACTGTTTCAAGTTCGTACATCTAGTTGTTTTGCGGCTTCACGGTGCCAGTGCTTGTCTTTCCTGGGATATTTTTGAAGTTGTAGCTGCTTTGCGAACCCGCGGCTGAACCCAGGAGCGTAGCTGCTTTGCGCATCTGCGGATGAACCCAGGAACGAAAAAATTGGTCGCTATTGTCGCCACTAGGCATTGGACTCTGTTGATCTACGTTGTTATCTATAGTACTCGGACTGGATGGGCTGAAGTCGCTACCAGTGGTTACCTGCGTCACATTCTCTTGGTTCTCATCGGCACTCTCGCGGGCATCGTCATTTCCCGCGATGTCATACGAGCCACAGTCAGACTCGTCCGAGTCGGCAGTCGTTGGTGAGGTATAAGTTGGAGTGCTTGTTGATGGTGGCAAGCTTGAAGATGGTGATGTACTTGTTGAAGTGCTTGTTGATGGGGTATTGCTCGTCGAAGGAGGATTTGGGGTCAAGGACGGACTTTCAAGAGGAGTCGCCGCTGGTGTCGAAGGAGAAGTAATCGAGTTATCAGATGGCTGCGTCGTCACTGCTTCACCAGATCCGCCGCTAATATTTGCACAATTTATATAGACCTGCCAAATTGGTCCGTGCATTGCAATCCAGTACAGTGTCAGCTTGCTCGCACCGCTGCACATGGTCTTTTCATATGATAATTGAGCAGGAGCTGTTGTAAAGTGTGCAGCGCAATTTTCGTCATGAAATGCTTGTTTATTGTCACACCAAACTTCACACGGACCTTGATGAGAAGGAGTAAATCCTTCTTCTGCCGAGTGTGACCACTCAACTTGTTCTGGTAAGGGTTGTGGTGGGGCATCAGGATTAGCATTTCCACAAGTGAGAGATGCACCAGTAACAGAGATCACGGCCTTATCCTCAATCAATTCCTTTATTGATTTGTAGTTGCTGGCTTTGAAAGCTGTTGTGAATGAGGCCACATTAGCATCCGGTGCCGTATTGTAGGTACCGGGCAGTCCTGACGTGGACGAGTCGATGGAAGCAATAAACTGCGTCTTGTCACCTGACGTAGGGCTCCATGTCGATTCTGGTTTCGACATGTAGCCATGACCATTTACACACGACATCGCTACAGCAGTAGCTACCAGACATTTGATGAAGATCATTCTCTTTTGCGTTGACTTTGAAGCAAGGTAAAATTGCAAATGAGTGAATCGACAGAGTAAACCTGTAGTTTATTTATCGGATAAAAGAGAGCATCATAGAATGTCCACGCTTTTCTCCAATTTCCCAGACTGTTAGTTGGTGCAAATCCTTAACAACAGACAATCAGACAGGGTTTTTCCAGCGATTACTCTCGTAGAGCCTACACTTTCCTTTAAGTCGTGCAGATTCCCAAGTGGAAACAGGATCGGATATCACACTTATGTTGAGCGATTTTTTATACCCGACACAGAAGTCATTGATAACAGCAATTTACATACGCTGCCATATTATGGTCGACGGGAATCGCAGTAAATGCTTTCGAATGTATAATATCTTCAGTCTTAACATCCTTAATCTCTATAGAGGCAGAAGGAGCAAATTTAAAATCGTAGACAACTGCCCTTAAAGTTCGAAGTGTCACAATATTTCAAACAGATGTTGATCTAAGATACGAAGTAAATTGTAGACCTTATTGAGCACGCGCGTTGTGATTTATGATTCTTCTCCACGCAAATTCATAATGCTCAACCACTGTTTTACGATGCATATGGACCACAAAATTCAAAATTGAAAACAAGCTCAAATATGCAATAGGGCACAACTAGCGATTGTCACAAAGATCCTACGAATTCGCCGAACTACGACCACCATAGGTCTTTCATCAATTCTTGGTTTTGACTATTTCTCTCTCTCATCCTTTCGCTGTTTAGACCTTTGGTAATGCTCGATGCATGTTCAATGCTCAGCGCTCAGTATTTTACTAAACTTAGTCACTGATTGCTCATATTGATCACCATAGAAGAAATTATAGGATAGAGTAAAAGTAGCTGTTTTTCAAGAAAGAAATAGCGAAAGAATGCATTTTTTTAGAAATCAGCGTCAAGAACGCAGTGCCTTCGAGATGTTCACTATCCCGGCTGGTGCAACGAGAGAGCAAAGCCGTAAGGATTAAATAAGCTTGTCTTCCTACGTACAACCTGCAGTTTGCGTATCTTAATATTCCACATTTGGTGCCTGACTCTTCGTTAAGTGATGCACTGACGACTTTTATCCAAACTGCAGTCTCATTTTAATTTTATCAAGAGACAAAATTGGAAGTTTTAATTTACTTGAAAGCTATTATATTATTTTATGACCCGTTCGACTCAAAAATAACGATGCAATTATTGTGGAGCATAAGTTGAAGATTTACTAAAAGCAATGTGTACCCTGATTCTGAAATTGATTATCAAAAATCATTAGTATTTTTACATAGGCTTTCAACATCTTGTAAAGTTCATATCTTGAAATCAACCACTGTCTTTGCTTAAATGAATATACTGATGTCTTCTTTGTTAATTAAAGCAGTGTGGGCTAGGAAATCGCGATTTTCTAATGAAGACAAAAATATTTGATAGAATGCTGGCTTGTCGCTGACGTTGGATGCGCTAATCTCGCCAGTTCAAAACTATGTTTACAATGCCTCTTAACAGATGTCTCCTGCTATGCATAATCACAGAGTAGGTCCATGTTTGTTTACTCATACATAGGTCATAACTAAAAAACAATGTATTCGATACAGGAAAAATTGCTGCTGTTGTGTTTCAAAACTTCCAGTGATCATATTAAATCTAAGAAGAGTGCAATTTAGTGTTCATTTCAAGTTAACGTCGTTTTTGGTATTGCGTCTCTCCTAACGTGATACATAGCAAAATTTCCTTAGGCAAGTCATTTGTCAAACATAGGCTTGAATTAATCGTGTCGCATGAGAGATGGTCGAATAATTAGAAGATTCAGGACGAACATGATTTCAACCTTGCTACATTTGTAAAATGTGCGGGTTTTTCTTGATATTGTGTGTGATGACGTTCTTGCTAAGCAAGTACCAGCATGTTGCATACTCGACTCCTTATCCTGAACAAAGTGTGCAAGCACTTCGCATCGAAATTGTGGTGCTTGATCGGACTGTTACTCAATCGACAACTGAGCAAGGCGGTTAACGTCTTTGGATCAGTTAAAGTCAAAGGATCTAAAAAAGTGTGCCGGATCTGACGCTTATACGCCATTCTCCGATCCGACCTGAGCCTCACTTTAACTTATAGCCATCACATTAAGAAATGGTTAATTGTTATCGACACCTACATTATATCTGTGCAGTCAGTCTCACTTAATCTAGCGCTGTCGCTTAATGTACTTAAAATTTGATACATGCCTCAACGATGGTGTTGTGGTGCCTGCCATTTCAGATTTTGGGACAAAAGTTGCTGGCACAGGTTTGTCCACTATTGATATATCGAAGCGTGTCGATGTGTGTCAGTGTACAATAAAACACATGTAGACAATTATATTTAGAAGTATTTCCGGTAAGCAATGATATTGTGGCGCTATTTTCTTGATCATCAAGTGGGTCATTGGGAATATGTTGACTATCGCATTCGCTGTAAATTTATTGAAAGGTTTAAAAGGCCAAAAATCTTTCATTTAATCATTGTCATCATCTGGTGACCCCGTTGAACATGCACCAGTACACCTCTTCCACAATTCCTCATTTCAGCACAATGTCATAAGTATTGTCGTCACGGTTTGAGCCATGATCTGTATAGATTTATTTTAAATCACCGTAAGCTGCTTCGGGAGCTACTGCACACATTTAAGTTAAAAAAAGACGACGTCATCGCTGGGGAATAAAAGTGTTGGAAAGTAAAGACCCAGGTTGAGCTCTCATGACCACATAATGTTTTCAAGTGCTGGTCGCTCGATCATGCGTCAAAAGCAACGCCTTGAGGCGGAAGCTTGGTATGAAGAAGTGTTGCTTCAACGTGACACCCATTTAGCAAAAGCTGGCTGGTCAACCAAAAGCTGGCTCGTCAACCATTTAGCAAAAGCTGGCTCACCAACAGGTGATGATGTTCACGTTTCATTGTTTACATTGGACCGCTACACGTCCGACGAGCTCGTAAGAGTAGATAGTGATATGGCTTTGATAAACCCGCGTAGAACACGGGATCTGCTCGCTAAGTGCATAAGCCGATATTTTCAAATACCAAAAACGTGGACGGCTCGATGTAGCGTGATTGCATAATTATTTAGCTGCCTGAGTAGATGGTTCAATTATATGAAACTTAAGTCTCAGTTCATATAGCTGAATGTCTTGCGTGCCTTTGGTATCAGCATGTTGCCTATGAGCATCCTGGCTCTCAGCCGTAGCGTCACGCATCTAATTTAATACATTGCACAAATTCGAGGCATAAACCAAGGGTGATGCTTCTACTATCACATCTTAGCGTCCACATTTCGATGGTATCTGTCTACTCAGTGTCAAGATCAAATTCTGCTTCTGTGATAAGCTGCCTTTCGCACCAAATCAACTAACGGTCCAAAAAAAAAACACACCCGTGTTGCCAGCCGAGTCCTTCGGCAGGCCAAACACAAACTCCATCCTCATGGACTGCCAACATCCGGAGAGTATTGGTTAATTGGCCAGCGGAACCGCCGCATTTAGAAAGGGCTTTACCCGTCGACACGTCTCACTCGTGCGCACATAGGTGATCATCCATTTGTACAGCTGGACCACCAGTAGTGACAGCTCACAGAGCTATAGATCATTTCACGACCAAGATGACTACTGAGTGGGGTGTCGTGGGCCTCATAGAGAATACGGTACTTTGATTTCTCATCGTGAGAAATCACAATTCGTGGCGTATCCGTCGATTCGGCGCTATAATACAGCGATCCATTATTTTATTCAATGAATATCCGCACTGTCGCGAATACAACGTTTTGCCCAAGTCTCCAAACCCCCTTGCTTCCGAAAGCCTGCAGCAGCGCTTCGCACAATCCACCACCCGCGTACGCGGCGCAGATCAAATCCGTCACTGACGACGTCACCATCGTGATATGAGCAAGCTCATAATCTGGACGTTATAACGTGTTAGCCATAGTGTTTTATTCCTGGCTTATATTTCACCTCGAAATTATATCTTGCAAAGAATGAGGCTGTCCTCTGTGAGAGGTGAGGCGACTGAGTTGCAGTGCGTAGTGACGCCGAGATTTGAACGCGATCACCCAATCTCGCCCCCCCGGCGCTGCTTGCAGCAGTGCACAGCCGATGGCAAACTCCGAAGCGTCACAGACGACACTGAAAGGACAGTCAAGGTCTGGCAACCCCAGTATTGGTACATGGAGGAAACTGTCTTCAACCCCGTCAAAAGCCTCCCGATGCTCGGTGTCCCAACACCAATCCGCATCCTTTTCAAGGAGATTCGACAATGGCCGTGCCATTTCGGCGTAGTCCTCGCTGCACTTGTTCAAGTAGTTGGCGATGCCAAGCCACCAGCGCTAGTCTTTTTGGATCTTTGAAACCGGCCAGTCCACAGTGGCGTTGACCTTAGCGGGATCCACTCAAACGTCACGCTTTCTTATGAAGCACCCTAAAAAAATCTTTTCGGCGCCGAAGATACACTTTATGCACTAGCATTCAGCTGATTCGTGCGTATGCACTCAATCACCGCTTAAAAGTTGACGTTGTGGTTCTTTTCATCTGTCCTCCCAAGCCCCGCACGACTGTGGACGAAGATGTCGGCGAAGTATGTCTGTGAATACGCCCGATGGGGCCTGAACAATTGCGTCACAAGACGATTGAATGTTGCTGGTGCATTTGACAGCTCTTGGGGCATCAACAGCCACTCCCAAAGCATCCCGCTCGGATTACACACCGCTGTTAGCGGAATATCTCTCGCTCTCATGAGCAATTGGTAATAACCAGCTGCCAAGTCGAGGGTGCGCTATGCTATGTACAGCCAACCATATTATTCTGAAGAACATCCATGCTAGGAATCGGCGTCTGTGCCGGAATGGTGGCAGCGTTGAGCTTATTATAAGCATGAACGATACGCCACTTGCCGTTTGGCTTCCGGACACAAAACGTGGGTGTTGACTGGGGGTTTGCTCTCACGCACCATTTCTGTGTCGTACCTCGCACGGAAGAAGGCGTCAATGACGTTACACTACTTTTGGGGCAGGGGCCATTGGCGTGATACGCAGTATTTGGTTCCCAAAATCAGGTCGATCTCATGACGCACACCTCGGTCCGGAGGTAGGACCGACGTTGGGTCTTTTTAGACGACGACTCGCATTCCTTTACCAAAGAATAGTACGGATCAGAATCGACGATCTACTTCGTGCGTCCGTCACCTTCTTGGTGTCCACTAGGACAGCCTTGTTCAGAAGCGACGACGATTAGATCTCATCGTTCGGTCGTATAATGACCACATCGGCTAAATCGCCTACCTTCAAGGCACCGCCGAACGCTTTGAAGGACATCTCGTCCATCTCAAGAAAGAGAAAGAAGAGCATCCACCGCGGGAAGAGCCTCGACGGTGGCGTAACCTTCTTCCTCTCCTGTCATACCGTTGACAAGGGTGTATAGATGTGCGCTATCGTCTACAATAAACACATTCTGGATCAGGGTCGACCCCCTGCGTCTTGCAGATAACATTCCGGATCGCCGTCTCCTCTCTATAGAGGTATTACGTCTCGTCGATATCAGTGAGAGAACGCACTTGGCGGCTTCTAGTGTCCTCACTCCCTGCTCCATCAAAGCCTTGATGTTATCAACAACATGCGACGAAGAGCTGCTATTTCCGCAGTCTTCGTCCAGTGGATAACGTTCCACTCCATGCGCATCGGAAGGGCCTTGCCTAAGATGCCTCGGACCTCGTTTGACCATGCCACTCTTAGCATGCGCAACTGCTTTGATACTTGAGCAGTGCTTAGTGGGTTTACGTGCCACTCCACGTCCAGCCCGCGAGCCATGCTCGGGACTCTTGTCCAATACACCTTCGATGTTTGGCACCTCGGATACTCCGATATCCAGCACATTGACTGTCCAGTGCCCGCGCTGAAAGCGCTTATGCTTCCTAGTAGAGGTGAGCCTATGACTCACTCAAGCTCCACCAGGAGACGTGCGAGTAGCGCCCAAGGCCTTCAACCTCCAATCAATCTATGGCTCATGGTGTTTCAACCATGCCATACGAAGGATAAGGTCATACCTTAAACCCAAGCCTAAGACTAAGCAGCATGCCTTGCTATCAAATACAAGAAATTGACACCGAGGTCCATAGGGACCTTCGGCACAGTGACACACAAGACTCCGACGCTAAGTGAACAGTGACGGTGTCACTCAACCGCACTCTTAGCGCCTCAGCATGCAGCTAACTCCCTTCTTTCGTGAAGCGTCGAGCAAAATTGCTTGACGCCCCGGAATCGATCAGGATCGTCCATGGCTTCTCAAAGCACCTTCACGCTTGCTCTTACGACCAGCAAGCCCGGCTTGCATACACGTTCCGTGTTATACTTTTATTTGAGATATGGTGGAATGTATTTTTTTTCTATTTATTCCGGCGAGGCAAGTACAAGCTCAAATTTGTATAATATATACGCAGATTCTTCGATTCGAAGCTTCATCCGTGCAAAAGGTAAGGCAGACTTTTGCGGAGAGTAATATAACTGGTAAAAAGAGATTCAAGCTTGTGTGATCTGACCGCCTTATTGAAGGTAGTCGTACGGCCTGAAACAAGCAGAAAGGTTATAATATCAACTTTTGCATGCAAAATACATTCGATGCGGGACACTATCAATTGTCCAGATACTACGAGAAACGCCAATTTGCATATATGATCTATATTCGATCAGGTTGACTCTGGATGCCGTCAACAGTATATATTTGACAACATAACGTGAAATTTCAGGAATCTGAACAAAGTGAGCATGTCTCTAGGTATAGAAATTAACTTTGCTAAATCACACCAAATATTAAGATTATATTTTTGAGTATGCGATCAGAGTACGATGCTTAAATGTCAATAATGACAAATGGGATAACACATTACCGCTACGGATGAACAGGCTGCGAGTTGACCCTTTCAGTACTTTGTTACTATAAACTGCTTTATACACCCAACCGATCACGTATTTTGCAGCATAACAAGGCCACTAGGAAGACGCATAAACCAAACGCATCGGCCTAAGGAGTTTGAGAAGATTGCAAGATATCTGAAAATGCCAAGCATTTAACATGCTGTCAAAGAAATTTACAGCTGAAAGGGTGGAGCAATGCTGATTTTGCGGCGGTCAATATCTACCAAACAGCGTGCATTATGATCATGACATTTTGGCCATACAACTTGGCGTACAGCATGACGAAAAACGGTAACGTGGCACGTTCGAGAAATTCCAAATCAAATGGACAGTTCAATGAGCACGATATCACGGCCAAAAATCCACAGTACGTGGATGGACAATCAAGTGGTAACCAAGCAAATCGAATTGATGGAAGGCCCAGACAGCGCTACGCAAGTCAACTTGCGTGTAAAAGTTAGCCACTATCATGAATTTCAAATCAAGTTACATCATGTCGACTGACATGCTACCGACTTGCTGTATAAGATGAGACAAAGTCTTATGGAGATTTTCAGCATGGGATATTTTAAAGAAGGATTATGTTTTGCATAGAAGATCTAATACAATAAATTTGCAACAGTCGTAACATTAAGACCGCGATGAACAGCACCATCGTGGCTGGAACTGACGTAATGATATGACGCGGTACCGAATGCGACGACATGGTATTTAAATACGAAGTATGTTACCGCAATTTAATTAAGTAGTGTATCGATATGATATTTTCTCATTGATGTACTCAACACCAGTCGCTTTAGTGGGTCTCCCGGCCAACAACCGCTCAAATCTCCATGGCAGACAATAGTACGACGTGGGATGCCTCCGGTGTCGTAGCGCAAGCCAAGGCGCTGATTCTCTCGAGTAACGTGCGTGTCCTCTTTCTTTCCTTTGTCTTATTAGCTTTCTGCACCATGGGTAGCTCGTAGCTTGCTCTCTAGCCTTTGTCATCTTCATTATATGCGCACTGGTGCCACCTCTACAACTTTTCGCGTTAACGTGTCTCACTTTCTGCTTCCTTTCTGATATTTGCACAGTACATTAAAGTAGAAGATGCGCGGAAAGAAGTGGATGACACGCTATCTAGATGGGTGAGCTCCGTTCAGGCAATGAGCGACGACCAGGGCGTTGGTCAAGGCAAAACTGCTGTCGTGGCTCTCTGGCGTCAATATGCAGCTCTGGAAATGGAGCTGCGGCAGTTTAAACAGGCAACAAAAGTTTTTGAACGAGCTGTGACCTGTCCCGTCGCGGGCTCCAGCATGGCATTGTGGCTACAATACGCTGACTTTTGCGTGGAGAGGAAACGGTTCTCTAATGCCCGTAAGGTCTTTATTCGGGCCTTGGAGGCTTTACCCGAACGGGAACATACAGCCATATGGGCTCGATTCTTCGGCTTTGTCTGTACCCATGTGGATGGGACGCTTTCGCTAGCCACGTTGCAGCATCAGGTTATGCCCGACAAATTTCCGAATCCTGGAACTTCAATAGCAATTGCTCCCTCCGGTCCTTCTGCTTACACAACACCTCCTGTGGCAGTTAGTACACTGACAAATCCTTTGAAGCCACTTCCAAACACATTGCAGCCGCTGCCATTGCAAGCGCAAGCAAATGCTTCAACAAGCCAACCTGTGTCAGCTGTTGATCCAGCTGTAGCTTTTATTGATACTACTGGTGAAGTCACGTCATCGCCGTCTCCTCTTGCAGTCGACAGTGTAGGTTTATCAAAGCGAAAGTCGGTAGATTTACAAATTGATAGCGACGCGAAGCGTGGAAAGTCAAATAGCGCCAGTACGGCGACGGCGTACTTTGTGCATTTGCCACTAACGCTCCCGTTTATCCCTAGCTGTTCTCGTTTGTTATTTGATAGCGTGGCCGATGGTGAAGCTCAGAAACAGATAGGTAACGAGCTCTTGGAACGATTGTCAGACGTTCTTGGCGATAGTGCCGTGTTTGAAGGGGTACGTGATCTTCGTGACAATCAGCGCAGTCGGGATCGTGAAATGCTATATCGCTGGCAAGAACTTGTTGGCATGCAGATGAAAGAAGGTAGCGAATTGTTTGCGCGTCACATGGCATTGGAAATGCAGCACGGCTTTTCGGACCCACGTGGACTGATTGCTTTAAAGACACAACATTTAGAACAACGCCGCGAATTTTCAAATCGATGTCAAATGTCACAACAACAGTTTGTTGATATATGCGCCTTAGACCGTGCTGATGCCTTGAAAGCCCAACAAATTTCTCTTGAAAATATGAAAATTCCGGAAATGACCGTCACAACCGATGCTGATGCGATTACTTTGCAGGTACATATGATTTTTGGCATTTGTGAATGAAGACGTTCAATTGCTAACAGTTTTACTGACAATTACATGAAAGCGTGGTATTGTAGGTTTGATTTTAGAGGCTGAAAAATTGTGGCGTGAGGAAAACCAGCCGAGTGTGGATGCTTCTAACAAGAAAAGTCAACAGCCCCCAGTTGTATCCTCAAGTCGTGGTCCAACGAAACATAGGCGAGATAGTCAAGACTCGACAGCGTCAAATCACTCTAGTTCGCGTAGTGCTAGTGGCGCTGGGCCGCGTGGCAGTAGTCGACAAGATTTACGCAGCGCTCGCAATCATGGCAACAATAGTACAAATCGTCGCCGCGATCGAGACGCGCGTGGGGGTCGAGGCCGCTCGAATAAATGGGACATTCAACCCCCCCAATCAAATTCTCGCTCTCCAGCCCTTGCATCACCGCATACCCGTTATGAGTATGCTGGACCAGATCAGCAAATGCCATTATATGATCGTGGGCCGCAACAGATGCAGGCTTCGCTGCAGCAGCCTCGCCACTTTCAGCAGCAACCATTCGGAGTACCACCTTACCATGATTATGGAGGGCGGCAAGGTGCCATGTCGGAACAGCAAGGGTATGTGTTACAGCCCACAGGCCCCTATTCGTCTGGCCCGCCAAATTCTCTACGTCCTCGTGGAGAGGGTGATTGTCTTGTAGGACAAGGAGGGCCTTCTAGAGGCAGCGCTGCGTGGCCGCAGCAGCAACCGCAGTCGTTTCATCAGCAACCGCAGCCACTTCGGCAACACACAGGTCCTTTAAATGATGGGGATGACTTTCGTCCTCCTTATGATCCTTCCCTGTCTCGATACGGAGCAGCTTCAGGCACTGGACCTCTTCCTCCGTCTCGGGATGGCCCTGATCCCGTGCCGTACGGAGATGGGCGTCGTACCGCTGTGCCAACAGCTCTCTACTACCATGAGTCGCCATCGCAACAATCTCCTTACCACCCACCGCACCAGCATCCTTCGCAGCAGCCATCTATGCGCCATGAAAACTACCCTACTTTTTCGTACGACCAGTATGGCTTTCCCCAAGGCGAGTTCCAGCAGCGAGGAGGCCGACCGGTGGGCAGTTACGGTCCAGGTGAACCTCCGCAAGATATGATGACACATCATCCACCACAGCAGCGATATCAGCAGGACCAACTACTCCCGTCGCCAGCACCTGCTGGGATGAATTCAAATCGTCGTAATCGACGTGGTGGTGGGCGTTATCGTCGGTAAGACCTGATAGAGAGAAAACATCTCGGCAACGAATGAACGAATCCATAGTAGTTGCAAATCCTTGTTAGGATGTGTCTCGCATTTGATCATGACAGTTCTAATGAGCTAAGTAATGAGACCTAGTGTAGCGCTAAAACTCTCCGACACGTTTTGCAATCTCTTGAATATCCGACGTGATGTTTTCTGGCACGCGGTCATAAGCACGAGCAGCAACAAAAAGCACGTCACGGATGACAGCATGATTGCCCATGATGTCAACGTGATCGGCAGTTTCTGGTCCACCCCGAGGGTCAAAGAGCATTGAGACTGGATTGTGAGGATATTCACGCACACGCACCTCGACATTGCTGGGATTATATCTTTTCGACCGCCAGCCATTGGCGCACATGAATCCTAATGAGATTAACGGAACTGTGCCGTCTCCATCTGAATATCGGATTCCGCCTTTTACGTATGGCAGATCGTCTATGTCTGTATTAAAGACATAAGGCGCAATAGGCTTTCCGTTTAAATGGCCAATCTCGTCGTCAAGAGGGTTCTCACCATACGTGTAGCTTCGTTCAGCTGGCTTACCAATTCCATAAAAACAAAAGATTTTCAATTTTGGTGCCTTGGGTAAAGTTGATGCCAATGGGTTCGTCCAGTATCTAAAATGATCGTATTCAGGCAACGACGGATCTTCGACGATATCAGTGCTAAGCCAAGAGCAAAAATGATCGAGGTATGGGTCAAGCTCGCCTAGGAGTTTCTGTACGCCTCCAATCGTGACATTTTCGTGCGTTTTATTAACAAAGTGAACAACTTGGCCATGTGAGCCAAAGCGTTTAACATGTGTATCGACCTCCTTTGGATTTATGGTCGCATTCCTACCAGTCGCCAATGGAGAAGCAGCAGCTATATCATCAGGAGCAGACTCGGTCGTCCCCCAAATTCGATCCCCACCAATGGGTAACATTGAAAAGACACTGGACCACGAACGTGCGAGTTGTGTGCGTGCCGAGACACTGAAGAAATACCCCAAAAACTTGGACAATCCACCCAATTCAGCTGTATCTTTCATTTCACCGGACATCAAGGCACTAATTGTCTTTACCAGACCCAATGTTGGACCAGCAATGTTCACAAAAGCTTCAATATTTGTATCGACCCATCTGTCGCCACCATTACCTCCATTCTCGCTTTCGACCCATTTTAAAAAGTGTAAAATAACTAATGTAGCATACGAGTGGGTCACTAACATGACTTTTCGACCACTTCCGGATACACGGGCCATTTCAATCGTATACTTGAGTTTTGTAAAGTATCCATCACGTTCTTCAAGTAAATGTGGCATAAGACGCCAATCGTATGCAGCCATATACAAATTATTACTGTCGTATCCAATTTCCGCTAAATTCTCGACCAATTTTCCCCAAACCCAAAAGCCACCAATTAAATAGTCAGCTGCTTCTAATCCCTTAGCTGCACGCAATTTGATCCCATTCGGATCCATTCCCGACGATCGATTGAGCATCATATGCTCCAACCAACACTTTTGATTCATCATAAACTGTTGTAGCATTCTTGATGTACCCCACATACGTTGTCGAAAATACGTTTTACTACAAGCACTACCATTCCAGATCTCAAGACCAGTGGAAGTGAAGCCTGGTACCAAGATGACAGGCGAGTACGCTGTTATATTCTCTTGATGAAACAATTGAAGTCCGGGTCGGATCTCAGTTGCCCCAAGAAGACTAGGTCGGTGATCGAAGACGGCTAGAAGTTCTTCTCGGACATTGACAGACCAATTAAAGTTGTCAAACATCTCCCGAACTCGAAACAACGAGTCCTCACTGAGCAAAGGCTTCTCTAAGTAGTAGCGCTGAAAACTTGTGACAGCCAGAACGCCAATGAGAATACCGGCCAAAATTGAATAGATACGCTTCGTAACTAGGTGATCGGCGGCCCGCACGTGCCAGCTCTCGGTGCGACCGAGTGAATGTGCTGCCTCGACAAATGTTTTTTTAGTCTCCGACTGCTTGCGCTTGTCAGATTTAAAGGCTCGGGCTACGGCCTCATCAGCCAATGCTTTAGGAGATGATGGTGTTGTGCGGCCATGCGGCTTGCGCTGACGCACACTAGAGGAAACATCATGAGTCATGATTTTTTAGAACTGAGGTGATCCGATTGTGACGATTATAAAACATCGTAGCATTTTTTTCATATTTTTTTTTCTCTTTTATGATTACGATCATCATCTTCGCCGTCTCTTTTAATTATCGCAAATATCCTATATGACTAAAGAAAAAAGATTTTTTTCAAATGAAAAAAATATTACTCATACGATTGAGACATTCAAGAGTATCGAGTAAACAGAGCTTGGACACGAATAACTCAGCGTTCCTCCATGAGATCAATGGCTAGCTGCATTGCAATAGATACATCAGCTGAAAAGTATGCAATTATGTGGTGGAAGATTACGAACATGAATACGCTGAATTTTCATTCATCCAAACATACTGCATGCGGACTTGGTGTAGATTGTGCTACTGTGATCACTCGCTCTTGGAATATCTACAACTCTTCAAACTACAACACACTACAAAAACAAACTCTTTCCTGGATTTTTTGCAGCCAAGAAAATTTGCGCGGTAAATGAGATTATATCGCGAGAAGTCGTATCGAATACGCGATGAGTTAAGCTGCTCACAACGCCGTCTAATATGAACAAATCTGACTGAGCATCTAACATAATAATAATGATACCGGTGATTGTGTTGTCTAGACGTTTAATTTTCACATACGCCTCTGCAAAAGCATCTATGTCGCAGTCTCGATCAAATGTCTATCCTACTACGCTTCAACTTGGCAAAAAGATTATTGATATCATTCATCATAACCAGATCTTTAAAAATTATAGGTAATTGCAACATGTTCATCGGAAGGCGTTGAACTAGTCGGCTATCATCCATCTGTGACAAGGCAAGCCATCAACAGATCAACGCATCAATTAGTTGGGAAAGCAAGCATGCGTGCATCTATAACTCACATTTGTTTTGATTTAGTTACTCAAACCGGCGTGGTAGCTTTCTTGTGCCAAGAGTACAGTGCTTACCACTGAGGATGCATTCAAGTACTATAAATATTATGAAAACAAGCTTCTAAGAAACAGTTCTAACCAGCAGGGCTTGTACTACCTTCGGCGCACACTGTTAGAAAGTGCACTAGCGTTGCACAGTCTTTGACGGACGTCGTCGACGATGGTCCAAGTGACGATACAGCCGCTGTGACTTGGAAGGGTGTGGGCATTCCGAAATCAAAGTTTCTCAACCACGAAGATGTCCAGCATGGAAAACGGGTGGATAGAAAGGTCGTTAGCTCAGAAGTAGATGACAGTTTGGTGAGTACTTCTTTCCATGTTTCCGTCTCCTTATCACACACATATTTAAATTCGTTTGTTTCTTGTAGCAAAGTCTTTTTTAGATTATGTCTTGCCCATCGTGCAAACACTTTTACTATGCGCGTGCTTTATATGCAATTTCCATGAAGCAAGTAAGGTTTAATCCATCTACACCAGCGGGGATTGTTGGATGTGGTTGAAGGTGTGCGCTTCAATGGCAGCAAATGTCGAGCGTCAGGAGCACAACGAATTGCGAGGCATTCATTATCCCCAGAGCTTACTTTGATGCGCATGTCGTTGGCAAAAACGTCACAAGCCACCCCTTCGTTTAATCGTCTCAGCAGTTTGGTCAGGTTATTTGGCTAAATCTGGCGCAAGTGAGCGCGGAAGCTTTGCCGCCGGGGCGGCGCCCAAAGGCGCCTGGCACACCAGAAGCTAACCCAGCAACTGGGTTTGAGTTCGGAGTGCAATGACCGTCGTTTACAACAGCACCAGTCGCTCCACCGTCGCACGCAGTGACGCATTTGTCTACGCGACAGCCAGGAGCAGCTCCGACAACCGTTGTACGGATTTTCAATCATCTCTCGTGACTTGAGTTTTGAAAGTTACTGGGGATGTTTATATGTCATTTCCGCCTTTCTAAAACAAAGACCAAGTATTTCGACCGTGAGGGTTCAATCGATTTATATATGCTCGCTATAGCCCCACTTTATAATATAGTAAATCGACTGGACGTTCTCATGGATTTTTAAATTATCGTAACATATAAATGCGAAAGCATTACTATTTTGAGCACTTAGAGAAATTCTAAAAGTCAAGCTAGGAAGTACCAAAACGCTACTTCTTCACCTTCTGCTTTCGAGATTTTGTGAGGCGCTAATTGAAAAAAAAATCATGTTTTTGCAACCAAATTGTAGCATGAAATAAGACTCTTGAGATCGACTTTTTCTTTTTGTTTGTCTCACTAGTCAACTAATCATCAGTTTTCGTTAGCCCATGTTGCTCACAATTTTTGCCACTGCAGCATAAACGACGAACTTTTCCTCCAATTAGTGACTCAAAACAACCTCGACCAGCATGGTTCGCATGATACATCTACATTTTCATGAAGTTCGCTCTTGAGATTCAATCGTGCTGGATAACAAGCTCTCGACATTAACGGTGGTGACGTGCAATACAGAGGGTGATAGGATTTTACGCAAGCAAAAAATCTGAACTGCTCTGTTGGTACCGAAAGTATGTAATTACAACCAATAAAGTTTAATTCCATGCGTCATAGGCGCATTTGCCAACCGCACATATGTTCTTCGTCATTAAGTTATAACATCAAGCACGATTGCATGGAACAAATTGAAAAATTAACTCATTTTGAATATCAGCCATGCTAGTGATACTAAAAGATGACTAATAACATGAGAACAAAGAAAAAGTTGCACGTGTTATCAGGAATCGTTTTGCTTACACGTTCGTCATCGTTAGCAATATTATTTTTGAGTCGGAAGATCGTCCTCAAGTTTGATGGAAGATCAGAATTCTCAACATCCCGTAGCAAATAAGTCAGTGCCTATCGTGTAAAAGTGCGAGGAAGAAGTAAGATGATGGTTCATGTTATACGCTGTGCACAAACAAATTCATATTATTAGCTAAGCAAAGTATGTCATGATTATAACATCCAAGAAATTTTTGGACTAAACTGATCTTTAAAACATGGTAATCTCGTGAAATCACAGATAGTCGCTCTATAACCCCAACGGATCGAGAATATGGAAATGCAAAACCCAGTCACGCTATTACTATTTTATTGGCTTTGGTAAGTAATGATATTTTTTGCCTTCCCTCCGTATATACACTTCTTTTTGTACACACATACTGTTGTCCTTTCCATCTCATTGAGATAAGCTCAGGGGATCTGATGTCTGCCGCATCAGAGACCACCGCTTACTGCCACTTCAATCTTTTGAGATCTGCTCGAGGCATCAAATGACACCATCGCTATCTATTTTGAGGCAAACCCATGCTCGCACATAAACCATCACTGCTACGTACGCACGCCAAAGCGCTCCTACTCTTACACAGAGTTGAGCGCATGACTCTTCAAAAGAATATAGCGTATGAAGTGCATGTCATGCAGCATTTCCGACATTCAGTCGACCTATACTTATGACGTTCAAGCTGCATCGTTCGAAAACTGAGATAATGCATCGATTTCAGGTTCAGGTCGAGGCATGATTTCGCACTGCCTAGACTCTCAAGCTTTCTCTGAATGTTTGAAATAATATTTAATACTCTTATCACTTCCCAGACAAACGGCGTGCTTTCGCAAAACCTGCATTTAAATCCTTTCGCGTACGGTAACCTATCGTTAGAATATGGCATAGTACGATAATGCACAACGCTTACATTTCGCAAGATTTGTCGGTCGACCGTGTGACCTTCGAGACCTTTCAGCTGAGAAAAACGAGGGTACGTAGGATGTAACGCTTGAAACTGCCCATATGCAGAGCCGGCAAGTACGATAATGGCTAAGTGTTAACACCCCCATTCCTCAATTTTGCGGTGGTCCAACGCTTTTCGCGAGATCATAGGGTCACGCCAATCCGCACTCCTACCGGCATTCGCGGCACGAAAGTCGTGCTTCTATTCAATGCGCGCCCACTGTTTCCACAACAGAGGCTGGGTGGACGCCGTAGCTCAAAGAAGTAAGCGACACACTCCACATGAAGATGGTAAGCGTCTTAAATGGACAGAACTCGCAAAAGAAAATCACTCTCGTTACGTGTTATCAAGTAGTTTGATCGCAGGTGGGACTTTGGTAGGAGAGTGCTTACATCTGTGCTATCTGTCCTTTGACTTCTCATGTCGCAAATGCCTCTTCTACAGAGGCATGGTATGAAAGCGCGCATTCTTGCGCCCGGTCTTCTAGAGAATAACTCTGTCCTTCCTTTTAATGATCCTGACGCTTAGCACGAGTAGCCTCACGGTATGGGCTGGTTACACCACAGACGCCTGGTTGAGGCTTTCCTGAGCGTAACAAAAGCCTGAAGCTAAATAAGCGGACCCGTCGAGTGGTCAATGCTTCTGGGCCTAACGTTGGGTAGCGCGGGTTCGAGCCCCTCAGCGGACAAAATCGTAATCGTACCAGACATGCAAGAAAACTATTACCGACAACAGCCAATAAGGACTTCAGGATGGCGATTCGTACAAGAAAAATCAAGAGTCAAAATCAAGAATAAAAAGTACCCCAGCGGAATAAAGCAATGTAATAGCTTTGTCAGGTCCGAGTAGGTATAGTCGTGTAATAAGGTAATACGTATCAACTTTCAACTGAAGCTAAATAAGCGTGTTGTATTTCACAAGGGCTGGCAAGTAACAACTCTTCGTATATCACAGAGGATACTATCATATAAGCATATGGTTGTGGTATTAACGACGAGTACTTCCTGATGTATTGGGTTTGCCGTGTGCCTCCCAAGAAGAAGTTTGGACTTTATGTATCCAAGTGAGACATCGTGCTGAGGATGGATTCACTGTTAAACGAGAACCATACAGGTGGTAAGTATCTCTTCTGCTGAAATTTGTGTACTCTCTAGCATAAAATAGTTTCCCCTGTTTTGCATCAAGCGAGGCTAGCGGCTTACGTTTCTCACGGACCTCTCCATTTATTGAGTCGCACACCAGTACTAGTCATGATACTTCATCACAGGTTACTAATTTGATACTTTTGAGCGTACCCCAGCCTTGAGAATCAATATTGTAATATGTAGGTACACCATAACACGGCAGTATCCCGTGTTCATCCCAGCTGCACATCGTACCTATGTAAGTCAACCTTACATTATCAGCTCAGGTGTACCGTTGTGAAGTACAACGGCGAAAGTACCATGATGGAAACAAAGTACGCGCACAGTTTCTTATATTAACGTAGTACAATACATATATTAGTGATATTGAATACAACACCTCAATTTAATTTAGTGCTAAAGCACTGAGTTTAGACAGCGGGCTCTAATTATCACTCTGTGTTTGAATTACATGGTCAAAGTCATACAATTATGGTGTAATTTATCTTACCGAAAAAATTTGTACAACTTATTATTATAAATTTTACCATTATTCTAATAAACTTTCTATCTTACGAAATTTATCGTTTTATTTGAAAAGAGAGGATGGACACAAGAAATTGCGAGCGTCTATCGTTCTTACCATGTTACTGCAAATATTTGGATGCAGCGGACTGTCAACAGCTAGTAATATTTCCATTGGTTGCTCAAGAAAGAAAGTATGAGTGTATTGATAACACAGTGTTATTTCTATAGTGAACCTAAGTAAAGAAATGCAACTCAACACAAATGATTGTTAAACCATAGGAGAAAGAACGTACTAACAAATCTAAACTTGAGTCGATTCAAGAGCTTTCGCAAGCGATTGGTAATTATCATATTTGCTCGCTTTTCCATCAACAATCAAGTCCGCAATATCATCTTCGTAGTTTTTGCGTAAAATTTTAGTCATCACAGCATTCGCATCATTCGAATGTCGCGAAATCATGTAATCAATCCATTCACGCGCCAAAAGTTCTTCAAAGTAGAAGGTTTCTAGTCCAAGCTCCTTCAACGCAGCTTCGTCTCCAATAGACTCCCATGATTTGAACACAGCATCATGTATTCCTTCCATATAGGCTTTTGCATCAACCCTCGAAGGTTTAACGAAAAAACAAATACGAAGAATCGAACCAACAGATATCGACTTCTTCAGTAAAGGAAACACGACCGTCTCAACATCAGCGTTCAACTCAATTGCAAGGCAAATCCACCGGTCAATACTTTCGATAGTGGTTTCGTCCGACGAAACCTGTAAATTTAGTACCAGTCTGGAATATACAACTTCCTTCATGATTTTCTTTGCCGCAGGACTTCGAGCTTCGAGATGCGCAACACCAATTTTTGTGTCTTTGATACCTTGCTGAAGCAACTTGGCAGCTAAAATGGAGCCAGCAGAAACCGTCTCTTGTGTAGGTTGGGAGAAGTACCACTTCTGCACGCTCGGATGTTCAAGAACGTCAACAATATTTTCATTGTTGCTGCGAATTCGAACAACACGAATTTCACCTTCTAGTTGCTCACCAATGAACTTTGATTCTTCATCTGCCTTTAAATTCTCACTGAGTTTAAGCAGTGAGCGTTCAAGATGATCAGCAAGACCCTTGAAATTCGATACAGGAGTAGCTTCGGCGAGAAAGTTCATCAGAATATCTTTAACGCGATCACCAAAAGCTAATTTGCCATCGACAAGCTTAGCAGCCGGAAGAGAATCAAACAGATTTTCTATCTTGCGTTTCGCCATTCCCGACAAGCTCAAATCGGCGTAATTTCCACTTTCATCTGGCTTGGCCTCCTTAATGAGCTTCAACCAAGATAGTAATTTTTGGCTGTCAAAAGCCTCCGACTGTACTTTGTCAAGCTGGACAACTTTTAGTGGTTCGGAGGCTGTGGCCTCATGGTTGTCAATGGCGGGCGTCAACGGAGTTAGCGGTTTACTTATCAACTCATGTTGAGTGGAAAACTTCTGCACTGGTTGCGGGATATCAACATCGGAAAGTTTTTCCTTGCGGTTGCTGATGCCAATTTCACGTCCCAATTGCTCACCAATAGACTTTGAGTCCTCGTTTAATGTCAGTGTTTTACTGAAAATAAGCAGTGATTTTTCAAGATCGTCAGCAAGCGGTTTGGACTTCGCATCACTCCTAGCTTTGGCGATATAATCGATCAGCGCGACTTTGAAGAAATCACCAAAAGCTAATTTGCCGTCGACAACCTTAGTACTCGGAATGGAGGAGACCAGCTTTGTCTTTTGGTGTTTTGCCAACGTCAACACCATATACTGAGCGCACATATTTGGATCATCAGGGAAGGCGTCCGCAAAATATTTCGACCACTTTTGAAACTCACGGCTGCTGAAGAGTTCCGGCACCTTATCAGCGTGCACTTGTTTGAATAGTTTGTTGCCTGCTACATCTATCTCAGATGCGTGTCTGAGGTAAATATGTAGCTTAGCGAATCTCATGATCCAAGACGATGCGAGCTTTTTCCATAGATACGAGGGCTTGAAATAAGAAATGAAGCGTGACAGCATTCCAGCGTCTTCTTCGACTGCAACAGGTGCACTTCTTTCTTCCAAAGATAATGACAATTGATCGGAAGTCGACATTAAGGCTCTTTCGTGTCGCTGGGCCATCGTCTGCTCAATGGCTTCCAAGTGAGATATCTCACAGTAGATCAATAGAGTAGCGTATGACAGCAAAAGGAAGCATAGACGACGTGAAACGTTGCGCGCCGCGGTCATCGGTGGCTAATGGACTTGCGCTTCTTTCAGAAAAATTGAGGAATGAATCATTGGAAGTGCGAGACCACGTATTTGTGCAAATTTTATCATCATACTTTCAACTTCCATACAGATTTTAGGACTTGACATCACAGGCAACTCACGCAAACAACAAAATGTATTGGCTACAGTAAAATCAGAAAAATTAGCCGATCCGGGAAGCTATCCTTAAAGTACAACCCATTAAGAGCGTCAGGAAAGTGCATTTTTCATAATAGTATGCAGATTATACAACCAGCTGCATATCACACATCCCGATTTTGTCGTCTTTAGAACACTTGCAGTCTCTTCCTCTTTCCCGAATGAAGAGATTTGATTCTTGCTTGATGGGAAGTATTTTTTGAGGATATTTTCACACGTCAAGTAAAACCTGATTCTAAGCCTCGGTGTTTGTCCCCCATATAATGCTACAAGCATTATTGCACCGGTAGGAGAAAGTCGAATGTGGTGTATTAAAATAGTGTTGAAAACATCATCAGCGAAGAGAAACTGATATTTGTAGTCACACATCTCGACTCCTCTTCATACAATATTTTGGAATATTTCATTCAGTACAGTTAACTGGAAGAATGGTAGTATAGATAAGTTAACAGGCTTTTTCCTGCCAGTTTGTTTGATGTAATCTTACCATTTTGTACTGCAAGTAATGGTACCAGCTACCGGTAAGAATTGATAGCACTATTACGTCTTAGCACAAACGAAATTTGACCACGTGTTTGAGAGCACAAGGGATAATTTTCTGTGGTCGTCCAGTACTTAGCGCTTACTACTAAGAAATAAAAAGGTTATGTTAAGAATAGAAAAGCAGCTAAGAGACCGTTTCAGTAGTTGTGCAAACGTGTACGGTAAAATTTCTAGCCCATCAAATCCGTAACTGTAGATAGGCACTAACAATCAAAGATATGTATTATTGGATCAAAACTTTTGCAGCAAATGAGGCAGCTGCAAATTCCTCGACCTGACCCTGACCCTGATCCTGAATCTGATCCTGATACAGATCCAGATCCTGATCCTAATCCTAATATTTGCAGTCTCTTATCTATTTTCCAAGTATGAAGACAATCAGTTTTCCTAATGGAAGTTTGTTCTAAGCTTCAAAAATGAAGCGCCATGCTGAGAAAGATGGAAAAGTCAGAAGAAAAACTGACGCTAAGCTTCGATTTTACCCATCATAATATCGCAAGTTTAGTCCCAGTAAGAGGAGGTCGAGATGGGCTTGTACGTGGTGTACCAAAATAGCATCATCAGCCAAAAGAAACTGATATCTGTGGTCACACACCTTAAACGGTGTACGCTCGCCTGTAATTAGCAATGCCTGTACCCATCGATACCTGTTTCTCTGTATGCACAGATGTTATGGTACATCAGAGTTTCGCTTAAAAGAACTGCGAGGTTGTTGAGATTACACCGCTCATAGCATGTTGAACAGGCAGATGACGTCACTATATTTACGAGCACGTCACAGTAAGTAATTACATTATGGTTGGCGTTCATTGGTCTAGATATATCAGGATGCTAATAGAAGCTTCTAAAAGGATCTAGAAAGTCAGGCTTAGATGTAGCACAGAGTAGCGAACTAAGGACCCAAATATATTCACTTCGGTTTTTACCTTCTACTCAACAGGTTAACAGCCGCACCAAGCCTTTCTCTACAAGCAACGTCCTCGCCCACTATGGCCAAAGCGAACCGAGGTCCTCCTAGGGAGTGATAACTACTACCACTGGGAGCTCAACATGAGGATGACCCTGGCGCGGAAGGGTCTCCTGGGGCACATCATGGCCGTCAAGGAAGAAAGTGACGTCACGGAGGCTTGGCTAGTAAATGATGCCAAGGCGCTCGGCATCATCGCTCAAGGCATTGAGATCCAGCATCAGACCAAGATTCGGTCGGCTACGCGCGCCATGGAAGCATCGGGAACCCTCCGCGATTTCTACAATCGCTCGACTCTTTACAACCGTGTGGTGATGGCTCGTCGACCGCACGAGTTCAAGATAAAAAGTGGGACAATCATGGCAGAGCATCTGGACTTTTTGGATGAGCTGGTAGTGGGACTCCAGGCTCCGGGAGAGCCAGTTGGTGAGTCACGTCAGCTGGTGGTTCTTTTCGGCTGTCTGCCGTCAGAGTATGACTTAGTTTCGTCGATTGCGGAGAATGCGAAGGACATCACGTTGAATGAAGTTAAGGAGAAGCTGATCAAGGAATCGAAGAAGTTAAAAAGCTATGGAGAAAGCGTTTCGCGTAAATGGAAACGCTAGAAGATTCAAAGGTGGACTTGACAATGGACGAAAGGCTGGTTCTCCACGCAATAACGGCAGATTCGAGGGCAATTATTTTAACTGTGACCAGTTTGGGCAAAGGAAGCGGAACTGCCCGACCAGTAAGAGGTCCAATGCCACACCACAGCTCCCTTGGGAGAGTGACGGGTCACTCTCATGTGACCCCGTTAC